AGATAACTTTAAACTGATATAATTTCTTTCATCCAGCTTTAAATTTTATAAATGAGGTACCAAAAGAAAGAAGAAAGATTAATCTTTCAAATGGTGATTATTTCATTATGACATGATTATTACATAATTAATTATTATGTAATTAGATGCTATATTGTGATGTCCACACTTGAATGAAATTAGCTTCTTTGTTTTTCATACCATCCCAAAATATTTTATAGATTCTTGTGCAACACAGTTTGACCTCCAAAAGGGTGTTTCAGATTTTTCCTATTGTATTTCATTCTCTCATAAACCTTCAATGAAGTTTGCAACCTCAATTCATAAGAGATCACTAAATTAAATTGGGTATAAAATTTGTTCTATTGATGTTTTTGGAAATCTGAGACATCCTTTTGAAGATAACTGGTCAAGGAACAACATGTGTGAAAATCAAGCATATAGAGGCACCCATCTAGGAGCTAATTTCATTTAAAACTACATTTTCATGACAAAAATGAATGTGTCACAATTGAATAAATAAGGATTTTCCTACTTGTACCCCTTCAACTTCAATATAATTCACACATGTATCATGGGAATACTTCAGGATTGGCCTTTAATCATAAATCAATTAGGTTTTGACCAGTAAGAAAACATTCTAATTCAGCAATTCTAAATATATAAAGAAAATGCACACCCTATGCATCAACAATCAGATCTGGCGGGAGATGTTATATCATTATTGACCTTGCTGTAAGTCAGTTGGTACTGATATGGTCAAAACTGCGCCCACCATGATAAACCTTTACTATTAATGATCTCAGAAGTTTAATTACACATTGCATTTACTTTTTTCAATATGGATTTTATTCTTTTAGTACATAAAATGATATATTTTTTTTTGCATTGTTACAAAAAGTAAGTTATGCATGTGTACACAAAATGATCAGTTGGTCAGTCTAGAGGATCCTTATGGGGGATTTCTAGAATTATGATTGTATACAATGACAATATGGTGTTTTACACAAAGTAGTTTTTTTTCATTTTTTGCAGTTTGAAAATGAGGTATTTAATTTGTATTTTCTTTTCAAAAGAAATCATATTTAAACATTCTCCTCAAGAAATTCTAGTATAAACATCAGCAACATTTATTGTTGTACAATTATATTTGTTTACTATCTGTACATTTATATTTTGATTCCCTCTTTAGCTCCAAATAGTTGTTTTGTTTTTTCTCCTGACATCTCCAATACAGAAATGTATTTTTATTTGGAATTCATTATCGTTCATTTTTCTATAAATCCCTAATCCACCTCTATTTCATAACTGTTATTTTCTATTGCTGGTCAGTGGTTGTAAAGCTATCAAATGATTCTATTGATTAACCACATAGTACTGCCTATATGTTCTTATCTTGTATCAGTCAGACACGTGCATTTGTTTATAAAACTATTTATCATCAAAACTCATTAACACTGCAAGATAGGTAAATATTTTTTTCTTCTGTGGGTTTTGAATATTAAGAAGTAACAAAAACAGCCGAAAATGAAATTTTGATAAAATTTAGTTGCTTTTGTATTGTGCTACCTTAAGGAGTTATTGCCCTTTATAGTAAATTTTTTACAATTTTCATAAATTTTGTAAATTTTTGTAAATTTTTACAAAATATTTTCTACTGTAAATACTGGGCCAAGTTCATTATAGATAGAGATAATTGTAAGCAGCAAGAATGTTCAGTAAAGTAAGATCTACAAACACATCACCATCACCAAAACACAATTTTGTCATGAATCCATCTATGTCCTTTGTTTAATATGCACATAAACCAAGGTGAGTGACACAGGCTCTTTAGAGCCTCTAGTTTACAATATCATGTAAAAAAACTGCAAGTATATTTTTTATAGCATATATAAAACAAACTTCCTTGGTGATAAGCACGGAAACACTATGCAACCTAAACGGTAATGGAATTTCATTTCTCCAAGAAATTGACCACTTCTCCCTACTCTCTAATGGAAGGAGAAGTTACTTCTCCCTCTTCAAAATCCTTGATTAGGCCCTGGTACAATTATCAATCCAATGTATTTAAATTGATAATTAGGTTATGTAACACAATGGAAATAATGTAAACAATTATAGGTTAATAAGGAGAAAATGTTAAACTTGAAATGAAATATGTAGCTGCAACAAATTTTTTGCTTTTATTGCCGGTAAACACATGTGCTTTAAAGGTACATCTAAATAAATTTTGATATCCCTGTTGTTTTTTTTTGCATTACTATTAGTCAATCATGTGATCAATGACATCATTTATTTTCTTTTCTCTCATAAAGTTTGTACATGTATCATGTATATTTGACTGAGTAAAAATTGTAAAGATATATATCTGCATTAATTATTTTTGGATTTCTACATTTTAACAGGTTTGCCATCAGATCAACAAGAGATGTCAGTCTCTGCTCAATACAGGATTTACCAGAGTAGACAGACTTCATTCACAGATACAGAAGAAAGTAAAAAGCCAGCTTCCACGGCGAGAGTCAGAACGTAGAAATCACGCTTTAGCTAGACATGTTGATATACTGTCTGCAATAGAAACACGTCTTTCCTTACTCAGTATGACTTATATGAGATACATTGATACTGGCCTGTGCTGCTTTATACCTGGCAAGGTATTACATAATACGCTATAGCTTACTGATTATTCTACATCTAAAGCATGACAACTTCCATATTATTTGAAAATAGTTAGCAACATTTTCCGTCAAATTATTTTCTTCATGAAAAAAGGATTTAAATTCATATCACCTAATATTAATAATTTGAGGTGGTAAATCAATATGAAATAAATCAGGAAAAATGTTTCTGATATAAATATGTCCAATTTTATTAAGAAAAAAAGAAGAATTGCAATCACATAAGACGGAATATTTGACTTAAGCAACTCCCGCCCAAAAATCCCATCTTACTGAATCATGGTGAAAAAAAGTTATTGTAAATTATTCAAACTCTATCAAAGCTCAATTTGCTTTGCAAAGCATATTGAAATCCTTTTTATACGGTTACATTTCATTAGAAAAAGAAATGAGTACTAAAAAAATCATTTTATTAAAATGTAGTCACTGGGAACTTTCATCTGTCATAACTGCCGTTCGTATACATATGTATAATGGTGGAATTTGTTGTATAAAAACATAACTATGCCAAGTCATCCTGAACATTACATGAAGTTGTGAATAATAAGAACAAAATTTTTGAAAAACAACAATACTGATTAACGTGAAATACTTTTTTTTTTATCTTTATTGTGTTGAGATCGTCATTTCTGTCAAATTTCCATGTTGACGATATCACAGATAACCGTCATAGTTCCGAATATTATAAGCCTGTAGGTAAGTATCTTAATGACCACGATTTATATCACTCGTGCGTTTTAAAGAAAAAATAAAAATGGCGTGTCTCCGCGCCTTGCAATTGAAAGAAAATTCTTGGCGTCTATGAAAGGAAACTGGAGCTTAATAGCATGTAGGCTTCATCAAGGTTAGATGTACACTATATGACCTATTTCAATCAGTTATATGCAGCGAAGCAGGTCCAGACCCAGCATTGGTCTTGTTCTATTCCTTTTCTGATTACAATTCTAGAGTACAATTGCCACAAGTTAAAGCCAGCTCTTACCATTACTACGATAAAAGGGGACAAAAAGGTAAAATGGCCAAAATGGTTACAGTAAAGTGAGAGTTGTTTGGTCCAAGTTTGAAGGCCTCTCTGTGACTTTAAGATGAAGAACAGCAATGAAAGCACTGTTCCTTTGCTTTTTGTGTGTTTTTATGCCCCCGCCGTAGCGGGGGGGCATTAAGTTTTACCCTTGTCCGTCTGTTCATCCGTCGGTCCGTCCGTCCATCAGTACGTCCCAAAATTGGTTTCCGTGCTTTAACTTTAGTTTGCCTCGACCAAATGTTATGAAACTTATACACAATGCTTATTACCACAAAACACAGATCAAGTAAACATTTGGGTAGTGTCACTTATACAGTTCTTGAGTTATGTCCCTTTATAACATTATATGCAAGCAGGGGCATCATGGGACACATTCCCCATTTATTTCAGTTTAAGAGGCTAAATAACAAATGCCGCCTGTTTAGTAACTTATGTCCAACAAATTACTGTGTCAAGCAAAATACTGTACATCAAAACTTGAGTTTAAATGTAAACCTGTTCTAGATTCCTACATGCTTCAGTCGTATCATTCTATGACCCGTGAAGCCCTTTCTTTGAATCAGCTTCCGTCTAAAGATGATCTTACAGTGTCAAGACCAATAGACAGTGTCGAGCAAAATTTTGTATCCAAACTTAGATATTACGTATGTTCACCTGTTCAACTTTTCCTTGTCAACGTGCTTGGGTTGTATCATGCTGTACCCATCATAGCCCTTTATTCATCATGTTCATAGCGGTCTGGTATTAGACTGTACATGACAAAGTCACGTTTTAAGAATAGTATATACACCTTCAAAATCCGGCATGCATTGCACGGTCAACTTGGTCAAACAATGTAAAGCCCGTATTTGATTGATTTTCAATGTTTTATGTCTGAGCAGCATTAATAGATTATATTTGGGCAATGAACATGCTGAGTCAGATTTCTTAACTTCCTACTGCACAAGAAGGGAAATATTACATCTTGATTTACTATAATTAAAATAGGAGCAGGGGCTCAAAAATCAACTTGCTGGCATTATATAATAACAATCAAACAAAAAGGCAGTAAAATATGGAGTCAAGGGTCATATTCCTGACAAGGTTACAGTCAGCAGGAAGATATGTCACCCTATCTGGACATTGGTCTGACTGAGCCAACCTGTCCTTCCTATAACTCCTAAATGCTACATGTACAGCATAGAACTTAGCAGCAAATACCAATTTCAAATTCTTTTGTTTGACCTTGACTGAGATCAAACCCATAATCTTCTGCATTCTAAAAGGCTAAAATAAAAAAATAGTGTGTTTACGGTAACATGCCCTGTAAAATTAGGGTCTGTAGGTAGGCATATTTTTCTATTTTTATGCCCAATTTATGGGCATTATGTTTTCTGGTCTGCTGGTCTGTGCGTCCGTTCGTATGTCCGTCCGTCCGTCTGTCTCGCTTCAGTTTAAAGTTTTTGGTCGAGGTAGTTTTTGATGAAGTTGAAGTCCAATCAACTTAAAACTTGATAAACATGTTTCCTATGATATGATATTTCTAATTTTAATGCCAAATTAGAGATTATATCTCATGTTCACGGTCCTCTGAACATAGAAAATGATAGTGCGGATGGGGCATCCGTGTACTTGGGACACATTCTTGTTTATAAACTTTTGATAAAGACTATATAGGGAACCTTTCTTGACTTTCATAGTGCTTGTTTAAAAATCATCCAAAAAACTTAAAGGCCCCTAAGAATAGAGTCGGTCAGAATACAGAAAAAATAGAACTTTTTTATTTGGCCTTAGAGTCCATCTAGGCACTGACTAGATTTTGAAGGTGCTTTAGGAAGTGAACGAGAGAGGTGGAAGGAGGGGTCTCATTCTGGAATTTCTGTGAAATAAATTACAAAATCCTAAATTATTTGAAATGTCTAGTTTCTATTGTCATCTTTTGACAGCTCTAACAATTTTATGTACAAAATGACATCAGACACCAACAAATCTGTCAAGGACTGACATTAGACACAAAATTTCTGTCAAATGATGACACTAGAAACATGCATTGATGTCAATTGGATGACATTAGCACATTAATGTCCTGAAGTTAGAGTTAAATGGTTAGTTGTTTAGAGTGAATCATTGTATTATCTCAATTTTCAAGATGAAAACAATTTGTGAATGTACATACTTCATATGTCTTTCAAAAGGAATTAAGCAGAAAATTAGGAATAAATGTTGCTAATGTCAATTATTTCTGTCCATTTCTGTCAATTATAAGATGACATTAGCAACATGTTTTTAAAGCGCTTAAATCGTCAAAATGTTGCATTGCCGTGATAAAATAACCATTCTTTCTTGAATATTAACTTGTATTTTAAGTCTTTGTAAAAAAAAAATCAAAAAGATGACTTGGCAAATGGGAATTTTTCATGTACATTTCTATGGAAGTTGTCCATGCTAAAACAAAATAATGTTGCCGTCTTTAAATTAGCCACTACTGTTTTTATCATCTCGGAACCTGTAAAACACATGTATCAGAAAATAAGATAATTTCAAATCGTATTAAATACAAAATTAAAAGTTCTTTTCGTTCCTGATCAGAGGAGGAAAACCAACACCATTTTTTACCTTTGCAATGGCTTTTTTATTCTGTGTAGTCAATGGTTATTTACAAGGAATATATCTTCTCTTTCACGCCCCACGGGATGACCACAAATGTGTTACATCACCACAGTTAATTACAGGTAAGTCGTTCTCTGTCACACTGGGTCATTAGTGGGATAACTGTTGACTCACAAACACAGTAGGGAAGTACCTGTTCTTGCAACGAAGGTATAAAAATCCGAACTTGTTTTCTTCGTTAACAATATTGATAAAATGCCATGTTGGAACTTATATTCTATACTTTATAAGACATTTTCCGTTTCCATTCTCTATTCTTTTTAACAAATGATCTTTAAAACTGGACCACAAAGATTGACCGGGGTATAGAAATGTGGACATCAATTATACCCTTCTTGTCAGGAAGTGCGCTTATTGCTTAAGTTGGCCATCTTTTTGATTGTCCGGGATGTATAAATATGCAAACTCGTCTGGTCTGAATGGGGACATTAAATCCAATGCCTCCTTTAGTTAGGTTGCAATGATCTGTGCACTTTTAAGGGGTCAGTATGTGGCCTGTTGCAAGAGTGATGTCCTTTATCTAACATACTTTCAGTTTCCATTGGCAGTCGAATTCGCGCCCTTCATTCCGATCGTCACATATTAGCACGTTAGGCTTTTGATCGCATAACAACAAATGCAACTAATGTTATGCAAACTTCAAATAATCTGTTATTCCCTACGTTTTGGCTTATTTTGAGGAAAATTATAGCATTATATGATAATTGCGTTTTTGTTTTCATTTTGTTTCATTATTTCTGTTTGCCAGAATTTTTTCAAATGATTTCACATATTGAAAAGAGATCTTGAGGTGAACTTGACATTGAAGAGTTTTTAGTTTTGAAGAAAATGAAAATAATATTTTGTGCTTTCATAGTACTTTTTTTGGATTTTTCTTCATCAACATTGCTTAAAGCCAAACATGTGAAAATCAGAGATGCATAAATAAGATGTACGACGAAAAGGAACATAAGAGATAAGCCAAAATGATCTAAGGTCAAGTTTGCCTGAGACAGTTTGACCTTAGTTTATTGGTAGTCTCTCAGTTTGTGACACAAAGTGCATGTCTGACCATCGTTATGCTAAGACGATTAATTTTAATTATCAGTATTCTTATTTTCTTAGGTTTGGTCATGTTTTTCACTGGTATGGTAATAAACATTCATTCTGATCATGTTTTAAGAAATCTGAGGAAACCAGGTGAAACTGGATACAAGATACCTCGTGGTAAGTTATTGACATTTTTATTTCAGCCATGTTGCTTTTGTTATTGTTTTGAAATCACAGCGTTTAGAAATATCATTGTAAATCCTTTCCATGTTTACAGTTTATATTGATAAGCATATTGTACTTTTCTCAACCCTTTCCCACGATCAAATTGAACGAGTTCCTGTCTTCCATTATTGACGGAAGGATGATGGTGATTAATTGACAAATGCCCTATCTGGCTACATGAAGCTCAATTGACACACTGCCAGCCAGTGGTATGACACAACGCTGCTGATCTATATTAACAGCAAAACGATTAAAAACAGTATTTAATGGGTACTGTATTTATCAGTTATTAGCACATGAAAACGAATAAAAAACTTGAGATTGTAATTTTCCGTTTTTTTTTCCTGTTCAAATTGAACACTTTTTGACCATTAAGCTGCAATGATGTTTACCTTTATATAACAAAACATTCATGAAAAAGGTGGCTGGACCTTTGTCTTTATTCTATTATTGTCTATGTATGATTGATAAATGTTCAGAAATATTTAACACATCTACTCTATGTAGCCGAATATAAGAACTGTTAAACAATTGAAACTCATAGAATGTTATTTTCATATAAATAAGAAGATTTTGTATGAATGCCAATGAGACTACTCTCAATCCAAGTCACAATGTATAAAAAGTAAACAATTATAGGTCAAAGTAGCGTTCAGCACGAATTGTTTAATAAAAATGTCCATTGTAATCAGATGCTTCTTTTATATTTGTTTAAAATTGAAAAACTTTTGCCACCAGCTGCCATGATGCATAGCTTAAATTTTCGAATCAATTGAAAATCGTCCAATTTTAACATGCATGCAAAAATGTTCCGGGTCATTTCCGGTGCTTCAGATTTCTTGTCTGACAGCCGAGCGGCTATGATTCATAATTTTGTTTATGCTAATATACAAATCTGTATCACAGGTGGAATGTTTAACTATATCTCAGGTGCTAATTTCTTTGGTGAGATTTTAGAATGGTGGGTATTCTTTATTTTATGTCCATCATTACCAAGTTTAGCCTTTGCTGTTTTTACTACTTGTAATATCGGACCACGTGCTGTACAGCATCACAGGTATATAAAATTAATATAACATCACAGGTATATAAAGTTATAACATCACAGGTATATAAAGTTATAACATAAGTTGTAACACCCAAATCAGATTTAGGGGAGGGGGTCCCTTTTGTGGGAAAAAATTGGTTGATTATATAGGGAATCACTGAAGCATGAAGCTGAAGCAGTCAGTGGGCCCCCTCTTATGAAAATTTCTGGATCCGCCACTGACATCACAGGTATTTAAAGTTGTAACATCACAGGTATATAAAGTTGTAACATCACAGCTATATAAAGTTATAACATCACAGGTATATAAAGTTATAACATCACAGGTATATAAAGTTGTAATATCACAGGTATATAAAGTTGTAACATCACAGGTATATAAAGTTATAACATCACAGGTATATAAAGTTGTAATATCACAGGTATGCGAAAATATGTAATTATGTAACATTAAAGGTTTACATATGATAGATTATTACAGGATTTGAAATGTAAACCCATGATTGAGTGTCATTGATTTTTATTTTCGAGTATGCCACAGAAAAGATCTCATACATTTATAATGGCTATATTGATTACAATTAAATTCAAGTATTTGTAAGTAATACTCGATTACCACAAACCATACATGTGTATTTGGAAGCAGCTGGTCTAATTGCCTACATTATATTTAAATTAATTAAAGGTAATACGCCAATCCCTCAGTTCTAGAGGTAGCAATAACCAGAAATTGAAAACAAACATGTAAAAGGTGAATATTGATTAAGAATACTTCCGGAGCACTTGATATCACCACCGGTCTTGGGTGCTGTTCGTGTTGCTTAGTCATCCGTTTTCTATGTTGTTTTTTGGTGACTTGTTTGTCTTTTGTCTTTTTCGTTTAATGCCATGGCGTTTCCAGTTTATCTTCAACTTTTGAGTTTGAATATCCCTTTGGTATCATTGTCCTTTTTGTCCTTTTTATTTGAATCAGCTCTGCAATTTTTTGACCAGGGTATAGAAATGTGGACCTCAATTGTCCTTTTTATTTTAATCAGCTATTCAATTTTTTCACCGGGGTATAGAAATGTTTTAATCAGCTCTTCAATTTTTGAAGAAGTTTGGGATTTTCAAATATTGGGGCATCGAGCATCCCTATATGCTCATCTGGTAGTTTAGTTTAAACATATTTTATTTTTCAAAAAGGAGAAATGAATTAGTCACAAGTTATTCAACATAGTAACGTCTTCTCCAATACATACATAAATATACACACGAATGAACATTACATATATCTGACTTCAATCAATTATTATTCGATCATGAAGATATAAAATAAATTACATAAAAATTTGAAGAATCGAATCAATTGAGATTTTCCACTAAATATAACTAATCGAGTGCGTCTATTTTCAGAATAAATAAATACAAACACACCGAGCTGGTTAAAATGAAAATATGTTAGTGTACATGACAAGTCATGTGTGTGAATTGGTATACATGTAGTTAATTTCAGTTAACTCATCTGGTTCAGTAAAATTTGTACCGTTTTTGTTATAATGCCTCTCTTTTACAAGAATATTTATTATCATTTCAGATGTTATATACAGAAGTTTGATGACTATCCAAAAAACAGAAAAGCCGTTATACCTTTTATTCTGTAGAGAACGGAAAAAAGATATTTAAGTCTCAGCTAAGTAAAAGGAGGACAAAAAAGGACAATAACTTGTGTTATGGACGTACAACTAACAGGAATTAATGTCAGAAGTGTACCATGATCTCATAGCAAGATATAAAATATAGAAACATACTTTGTTTAGTCTTTGTTTATTTTATAATACTAGAAAATTAACTATACTCGCGTTGGTCTGCTTTTATTAGCAGGATTTCAGGATTCCCATTTCCAATTACACCATGCACATATGTTCTTCTCAAAGCAACTCAAGTACCAATGCCATCAATATCAAGACGAAATACAAAACAGATTTTATATAAGCTACTTCAGATGGCCTTAGAAGTTGTTTCTTTAACATAAATATACATTTGCTTTGATTCCGTGTTCAACAGTGCTCAAATTTGTTGATGAATCGTCTACTAATGATTGGATTCACAATAATTTCAAGACCCATTTATTTAGTTATAAAGAATCTTCCTGTAATATTTTGTTTTAAATTAAAAATGAACATATTCAGGAGCCTCTGGCCTTTGTTAGTTTTGAATTATTTTTAGTTTTAGTTCATTTATATGTTTTGGAGTTTAATATGACGTCCATTTTCACTGAACAAGTACACAATTTTGTTTATGGACCAGCTGAAGTCCGCCTCGGGTGCTGAATTCCCTCGCTTTCTTGGAGACCCGTTGGGGGCCTTCGGCTGTTAGTTTTTGTCGAGCCTGCGACTTTTGTCGCAGAAAGCTCGACATAGGGATAGCGATACGGCGGCGGCGTTAGCTAATTTCTTAAAAGCTTTATATTTTAGGAGGTTGAAGACCTGGATGCTTCATACTTTGTATATAGATGCCTCATGTTACGAAGTTTCCGTCAGTCACATGTTCAATGTCCTTGACCTCATTTTCATGGTTCAGTGACTACTTGAAATAAAGGTTAGGATTTTTTGTAATGTTAAATTCTCTCTTATTATAAGTAATAGGATAACTATATTTGGTATGTGCGTACCTTGCAAAGTCCTCATGCCCGTCAGACAGTTTTCACTTGACCTGGATTTCATTTCATCGATCAGTGAACAAGGTTAAGTTTTGCTGGTCAAGTCCATATCTCAGATACTATAAGCAATAGGTCTAGTATATTCGGTGTATGGAAGGACTGTAAGGTGTACATGTCCAATTGGCAGGTGTCATCTGACCTTGACTTCATTTTCATGGTTCAGTGGTTATAGTTAAGTTTTTGTGTTTTGGTCTTTTTTTCTAATACAATATGCAATAGGTCCACTATATTTGGTGTATGGAAATATTTTATGTTATGATCTATATGTCAGTCGCGCAGCTTTTATTTGACCTTGGCCTCATTTTCACGGTTCATTGCTCAGTGTTAAGTTTTTGTGTTTTGGTCTGTTTTCTTCAACAATAAGCAATATGTCAACTATATTTGTTGTATGGAAGAATTGTTAGCCTAACATGTCTGCCTGGCATGGTTCATCTGACCTTGACCTCATTTTCATTGTTCATTGGTCAATGTTTAGTTTTCTTATGTTAAGTTTATGTGACAGTTGTAATAAAGTTTTATATTTAGGACAATCAGCATAACATCAATGATTAGTAAAGAAGGCGAGACATTTCAGCGTGTGCACTCTTGTTTTACTCTTTGGTTGGGTTATTGTCTCTTTGACACATTCCCCATTTCCATTTAAGTTTTATATATTGCTTACATCATTTTCTTTTAAACTCTGGTGAATAGTTGTGTTATTGGAAATCATGCAACAGCTCCTCATTTTTATATAGCAGATTACCCCAATATTGATTATTAATTCATTCTTAGCATGTTAAGATCTATATTGGTTTGAAGATTGAGCGACTCTCAACTATTAGGAAAGCACATCATTATTGTTTTGTTGGTTTCAATTTGTTCAAAGGTTCTCAAGATTTTTAATGTAAGCGAGTAAGGTTACTTCTAGCAGTTTATTTGATAAGCACCAAAGTAAGAAAAGTTGATGCACTCCAAGGCGTGATCTATAACCTAGTTGTTTCAATATGATCAGAGATTCTCAAGAAGATCATCGACATATTTTCCACACAGATCATTTGTAAATGAATCCCCGACCCCCAAGATCATCCTTATTTGTGTTCTGCAATTTGCAATTTTCCAAGAATATCAATACAGGTGTTTTGTTTTAGGGAGGACACATCATACTTTATGGGGTTGATATTGCTTACTTTTTAGTTTTCTGTGTTCTTTTCGCCATTTATCTTTTTAGCGATGCTTGTATTTTTGATTTATACATATAAGTTGACAGAAGTGGCAATATCAGAACTCAAGTATTTAAATTTCATACAGACGATATACTTTTAAAAATTGACATAACATTCGGTTGAGGATTTACCGTAAATACGACAACAGATATTACAAATGTACTTCAAACTTTCAATAATATACTTTTCAAAACTGGTTGGCCGATTGGCACCAAAGAAATGTTCAAAAGTCATAAATTGATTGAGAGAAAACAAATCCGAGTTACAAACTAAAACCTAGGGAAACACATCAACTATAAGAGGAAAACAAAGGATGAAAAGGAAGTCTGCCATATTCCTAAGTTGGTACATGATATTTTAAGAAAAGATGGTGTGTTGAACCTGGTGTGATGGCTAGCCAAACCTTCCGCTTCATGACAATGTAAAAAAATATATCGCTAAAATGACAACACTACGTGACAGAAATATGACACCAACACACGCAAGAACATTCATCACAGAGAAACGCACAAACAAGTAATAGTCGACACAACATGCAAACCTCGAAAATTACGAACGTATTCCATCTACGACAGACACCACGGGATATCACAAACAGTGATAAAACGACAACTGTATGCTATTTTTGGGGAGTATAAATACAAACAAATCAGAATCGTGTTATAACGAAAAACATTCATACGATAATTTACATATGAATGTAAGCACACAAATCTAGAAATAAGATTAAATAATTTTATTGAAACACTTAATTGTATAATTAATAATCATATCATAAAAACATGACATGCAGACCATTTCATTTCTAAATGTTTAGACCAGTTAGTACACTATCAATGTTGTCCGCCGTTTGATCTAATGCTACTACGGCGAGTTTTGAAATCATAAAAAAAACAATAGGTAATTTTGCCAGTGGCTATTATTTTCGCTGTATTCTTATGATTTAGTGACTTTAAAAATACATTTAATCTATCAATTGAAAATTTACCATATTAGAAAATACTTTTCAGCACAAATTAACATTAAGCAAATAACAATTAATCATTCGATTTAAAATGTCACTGCCAAAATATTTTCAAATAAAATCAATCGTTTTCACGGAACAATGCTCATAATTCAGTGTTACATCGTCTCTGATTAAGGTTGTATTATTTTGGCATTTCTTACTGTTGTACCCATATTTGTGACATTTGAACCTATTATGTCTGTTTGGTTTGTTAACACGTCGTTGTCAATATAATGGAATTTGATGCAACTGTCATACAAGTGAGAGGTTTAGCTAGCTATAAAACCAAGGTTTAATCCACCATTTTCTACATAAGAAAATGTCTGTACCGAGTCAGGAATATCACAGTTGTTATCCATTCGTTTGTTGTGTTTGAGCTTTTGATTTTGTCATTTGATTAGGGACTTTCCGTTTTGAATTTTGCTTGGAGTTTACAATTTTGGTGATTTTACATCTTTTACTCTGTCGAAATTGGCGTAGGTATATTCCCTTAATAAACACTTAATAACATTGTTTTTATGGCAGATCATATTATGTGTACACCTAAAAGCACAACAAAAATACCGAGTTCCCGGCAAGGTAAAATAAAAAAAAGAAGTCCATAAAAACTAACAAAATCAAACGTTATCATCAAATGGAACATGTGAAAAATAAACTGTCATATTCCTGACTTGGCAAAAACATTTTCCGGAGAAAATTTTGAGACTTAACTTGGTCGTATAGCTAACTTAACGTCCTACTCAAAGTTATTGCTTCTTATGATAGAAATACAAATATAATTTGACATATACATGCACGCAGAAAAGGATCGACTACTGATGAGAAGTAAAAAGGAAAACAAAACGAAAATGGAAAACATATTCAAAGCCTTATAACATATAAATTAACATGCAGAGACTTTTAACGACCGGAATGTTAAGATACCTGTATTTTGTATATTACATTGTCTGTATATGCATGAATTGCAAATGTGACTTTCAAAAATTGTGGATGATATTTTTTCATAGCAGTTTATTTTTTCTGAATAGAAAACTAGGATTATCCATTAAAGTTCTAATTAAGATTGTACTTTCTATTTTTCTGTTCTATGGCTTGGATATGAGGTCAAAATATTCATATTCAGAGAGGCTAATTGTACAGTAGAATGTTCATAATCATTAGATTAACCAATTTTTAAGTAAACAAGCCTGCTTAGTTTTATCCATGTGTACAGATGAATTCCAATTCACTAAAACTAGTCAAGTTTAGATAAAATAAAATTTCAAACTATTTGTAGACTAATATTTCAACACAAAAGCATATGCACACAACTCGATGATACAACTAATATACAGTAAAGATTAACACGATGAAAGTCATATAAACCGTTTATATACAATGAAGATTCATCCTTGATTCACTACACTTTTGGTTTGCCAGTGTTTGTAATACTAGCATATGTTTTAACTGAACGTGATATATTAACAATGTTACATGATTTTCAAATAATTTAAAAGTTAAATCTAATATATAAATGGATGAATAAAAATATTTCAACAATGACAAAAAATGCCTCCCTTAAATCAGGTAACAATATATGTAAAATAAATAAAAAAGTATGTATTGATGACCAATCAATACTTGTTTAACCAGACATATACATGTAGAGATGTAGACGCTTTAATTGGTTCGATTTTATATTAAATGTATGTAAGCTTAAACTTAATAAAAATGGCAATTTTAGATGCATGCATTTATTCG